GGGCGGGGGAGGAAAAGAATAATTATTCTAGAAGGCGGAGGCTGGGCCGCGCTGCTGCTCGGCTGGTCCTAGGAGGCAGCGGGGAGGAGGGAGGGGTGGTGGGCGCCAAATGGGGCAGACCACACCAGGACGCGCTGCGGGGGACCGGCTCGTGGGGGAGAAAGGAGGCGAGTGAGGAGGGACTCTGCTCTGGCCGGAAAAGGGCAGCGCGGGGGCGGCCGCGCGGACAAAGCCGCGGGGAGACGTAAGAGCAGGAGCGACTCCTCCGCCGCCGCCGCTCTTACAGGCCAGCGAATGGAATCGGGGTAATTTGAAGCGGGGGAGGGCGGAAAAGCAGCAGCGAATACGTCAGGAAGTGAGGCAGAGCGCTGCGCTAGGGATGGGCTGGGCCGAGAGGATCTGGTCCTCTCTACACCCGAGACCCGAGGCCTACCTTTACCTTTACTCGCCGGCTTGCGTCGCGCGTAGCGTCGTCAAAATCCTGACGATGGCGTGGCGTGGCGCGGCGTGGCGCCGGGGATCCTCGGGCATAGAGAGCGATTGAGCCACTCGACTACTCCAACTTAATTATTTTCATCAATCCGACCCCCGAGAGAGCGCCACCAGAGAGGGGGATGAGGGTAGAAAGGACGAGCCCGGGGAGTGTGCGGCACCGCGGGCACACCGCCCGCCGGGGCCTCCCGCCGCGCCGGCCCGCGTCCCGAGCGAACTGTGTACCTTGCATTCAGTTTGGAATGGAGATGGCGGCGGCTCCAGGTTTAGTGCTGCAGCAGTGCGGTCTATTTGTTGGCACCTTCTCCCCCGCCCCCTCCGCTCCTACCCCCTCACTTCTAACCCTCTTCTTCCACCGTCCCCCGCCCTCCCGGGTCCTCCCGCGGTTATAGAGCGTCATTTATATCTCGCGCGACACACAACTTGCGAGAAAATAAAAGGGGCCATTGCGTGCTTGTCGGAGCTGGTGTGGTGTGTTCCGTCTTCTCCAAGGCCCGCGGCTCGAGGGGAGGGGAGGGGCGGGGGGAGAGAGGATTTATTCCGGGGGTGGCTTTGGAAGTTGTGTTATAAAACGCAGTCATCAATAAACGAAGTTTAGAGGGAGTCTTATCCACGCCGAGTCGAACTTTCCGCCTGTCTCCGTTCTTTTCACGAGTCCTGGCCTAAAACGCCCGCGGCGAGTCGGGATCCGAGGGGAAGGGGGGGGGGGGGCTTGTGACACCTTCCTGTGTGGTCCTTTTTCCTTAGAATTAAACGAGGGGCAGAATGGGGCAAGCGCGGTAAAAATGGGACGGAGAGAGGAATTTCTGTTCATTTTACTCACCAAATGTTTTCTTTTCCTCTCTCGTGCTGCAGGTGCTGATGTCCCCCGCGACGTCGCCGCCGTCCTCGGTGGTGCGGCCGGGCGGAGCGGGCGGCGGTCCGGTGGCGGGCGCGGCGGGCGGAGAGTGGCACCTAGCGTGGACAGCGCAGGTGTACGGCCTCGGCACCATGTGGGGCGTGCTGGGCGCGCTGTGCCTGCTGGCCGCCGTGTTCGTCGACTCCAGGACGCGCCTCGTGCCCCGCGTCCACTTCACCATGCTGCTGGCGCTGCTGCTGGCGCTGGCCGCCGCCAACGCCGTCAGCCTCTTCTACGACGTCATCAACCACGACCAGCTGCTGCAGCAGCAGGAGCGGCAGGAGCGCCAGCACCGGCGCCGGCAGCAGGACGAGCAGGAGGCGGCGGCGGCCGCCCAGGGGCCAGCCGGTGACGCGGCGTCCGCCACCCGGGTGCCTCAGCTCCTCGCCGACCTCACGCTGCCCTTCTTGCCCGCCGCCTTCAGCGTCTTTTTCTTCGTCGTTCTCAGGGTGAGTACCGGACACGCTGTAACAGCATTCAGTTTTTGTTTCACACTTTTAGTAGCACAAACTAACTTTGTTTTTTTTGTGCACCCTCCCAGGTAAACCACGTGCCCTGCGGCAGCTCGGGCGTCCCCCAGACCCCGGCCTTCCTGGTGCTGCTGTTCCTCTTCCTGGCGACCACCATGTCGCTGGAGGTGGCGGCGTGCGCCAAGGCCGTGGCGGGCGCGGCCGGCTCGACGGCGTGGGGCGGGTCCGGGGTGGGCGGCGGGTGCGGCGGCGGCGGCGGCCTGCGCTCGGCGGCGCGCGGCGTCACGTCCACCGTGGCCGCGCTCCTCGGCCTCGCCTACCTGGTGGTGTACCGGCCGCTGCGGCGCGCCGCCGCCAAGAAGCAGGCCGAGCAGCTGCGCGCCGCCTACACGGCCTTCCGCCGCCTGCCCACGCCCGCCCTCCCCCGCGTCGTCAACGCCCTGCTCGTCTGCGCGCTGCTGCTCGTCTCGCTCGCCGCCATGGCCACCTACCGACTCATGGACGCCACGTTCATCAACAGTAACGCGTAAGTGCAGTCGGATGCATGTTTTATTTTCATTTTATGTTGGTCAGAGGCAAGGGGCGAATTAATACCGGTCATAAAGGTCAAGGCAACTGAACGTTTGTCAGAGTAGATGACCCAATCTCGCTTGTTGGAACCATCGACGAATAAAAAGTTCAACAAAAAAGAATTTAATTTAATGCATAATTTTTAGGCGTTTTCCTCATAATTTGTATTTGTTGTTCTTGCAGCGACTGGCGCCTGCCACCGTGGTGGTACATGCGGCTGGCCGAGCACGCGGGGTCGCTGCTGGTCGGCTTCCTGCTGCTCTGGTGCGCGACGCGCGGCCCGTCGCGCAGCTCGGACGAGCGCTCCACCGCGTCGCGCAGCTCGCGCGGCACCCCGGGGGCGCTGTCGCTCGTCTCGTGCACGGGCCGGCGCTTCCTGTTCGACTGCCCCTCGACCGGCAGCGAGGAGAACAAGACGTCCGAGGACAACACGTACCCGGCCGTGTGCGCCTCGAACCACGCCATCCTCAACTACACGCAGCACACGGGAAACAAGGTGGGTGGGGCAGTGCACTGCAGGGGGCTGGGCTGGGCTGGGCTGGGCTGGGCCGGTGCAGGCAGGCGTGTCACGCGTGTCACGCCCGTCACGCGCCCCTCCGCCGTGGTGGTGGGCCCGGGCCCCGACACGCCCGCATGTCACCCTGCCACTGATGTCACGCCACGCGTCACGCGCGCGCGCGCTCACGCCGGGGAAGCAGCGAGGGACCGGGCGTCGCAGCCTGAGTTTGACACTCGCTTGTCACGTTACTGTCACACTGCCGCCGCGCGTCACAGCTCGTCACGCCGGATTGGCCGGCTGCACGCGTCCCCCTCTCGCGCGCCGCATGCCGATTGGCTCGCAATTAGGGCGAGATGCGATTAAGGACGCACCACGTCGAGGCGTGTGGCGCCGCGCGGCGTTTGGCGCGGCGTTTTATTGGCGTAATTGTGTTTAGGGGACGTGCGAGTCAGGATGACGCATTTACTCTTTGGGCCAATATGGGGTGTGCAGTGACTGGCAGTCGTTTCGCATAGACGTGTGCGTCAGGCCATCGGCACTCCACAAATAGCATTAGCTATCATTTTTTGGCACGCATCTGGGGTGTGGGGAGCATGACCTTGCATGGACCGTAAGGCGGCTGTCACCTGTCTCTTGTCCTCATATAAAGTTTTTCTCAAACATCAATGACATAAGCGAAGCGAGAAGGCCGGCCCCAGCCCCGCCACGCCTGCGTCTCTGAGCGAGATACGTGCGCCTCACGAACCCCAGAGGGTTTCGGCGGGCATCTCTTCTGCTCGTATTGTGTCGGGGCGAGGCGTGGCGTGGCGGGGCGAGTCGAGGGTGGTTGTGTGCAGACCAGCTGCGGGCGGGGCCGCCCTCACCGCGCACCACTGGGGACCAAGCAGCATTTGGACAGCCTGCCCCGCCCCTGGCGGTGACCCTCGCTGTGACCGCGCCCCCTGTCTCGACCCGCACCGCACTACCACCGCCGCCGGCAGACGCACCCGACCCGGACCCGACCCCCCGACGACACTATACTCTTCCGGCTGCTGTCAAAATTACTGCGAGGGTATATGAGGGTAGCGAATCGAATGAGACGCGGGCGCGCGCGCGCGGTGCGTTTCTGAACAGCGCCGCGCTCCGACGACGACGACGACGCTCGCTTACTTGAAAACCCATTCCATTTCCGCGGCGGCGCTAGCTACCCACCTCCCCGTCTCCCCCATCCCTCGCCCCTTCAAAGGCGGGCGCGGGCCACCGCCGGGGAGGTTTGCATTGTTCGATTCGCGCGGAACGTAAAGTTGTATATCGGAAACAGGAAATATCGAAACGACTTGCTTTTGGGGGCTCCGCCCGGCTCCGCCGCGCCGCTGCCGGCCGGCCAGGGCCAGGCGCGCACGGGCGCGCACACTCACTCACATACACAGCGCACAGGGGCGTTGCGCGGGCGTGCCGCCCCGCCTCTCTCGGGCACGCATATACTCGCCAGGGCCGGGGGCGAGAAATCGAATTCGATTCCTCCAGTATAACCGCGCGAGGCCGTACATGCCAAATGCGGACGTGTGTTTCGGTCCACCTGTGCCCGGGCCGAGGCCGGGAGGGAAGGCTCTGGCCGAGGTCGGAGGGGTGAGAGACGTGGGAGGGCGGCTCCCAAGGGCAAGGTTAACCCGCTCTGGAGAGGGACTTGGACGAGAGGGTGTGTTTTTCGTAAGGATTTTTTATAAATTAGACATACGCAGCCGGTGTATCTGCTCTCGTGGAGTAAATACCAGCAAATTCGCGCAAAACGTGCCCCACAGTAGTGAACCGATTCACCATGAACACATTGTCAGGCTCGCCTTGCGCATGGTCTGGAGGTAAACTGTCTGACTCTCTGTTGCAGTTGTACGACGACTCGTTCCCGCTGGCCAACCTGCACTCCGGACAGGCGCCCATCAACGGCTCCGGGGACGACTTCGGCAGCGTGCCCACCATGCCCAAGCGGACGGCCCGGGCCGCCGGCGCCGGCGCCACCAAGGCGGGCACGCTGCTGCCCTACAACAAGTCCGCGAGGCGCGCGGCCGCCGCGGCCGCCCCGGGACACCACACCCTGGGCCCCGGCGGCCAGCTGTACGACGGCGACCGGGACACGCTGCGGAGGGGGGCACGGACCACCGGGCGCACGCGCAAGCCGCGTCACGCCCGCCACCACCAGGAGGTGTACAGCAACTGTCCGCAGGACGACGAGTACGACTTCGACCAGCGGATCGACCTGGACGGCATGGCCGACGAGTTCACCGTGTTCAAGCAGTACGCGAGCACGGGCAGCTCCGAGAGCGCCGACAACTACGACGTGCCCATCCTGGTGAGCGCGCCCGAGAACAACAAGCGGCACCGGCGGCGGGACCGCGGCGGTGCCTCGGACGGCCCCCACCACGGCGGCCACCAGCACGGCGGCGGCCGGAGGGCGGCCCGCCAGGCCTCGGCGCCCGCGGTCACGGCCCCGGCCGACTCCCTGTCGCCCGCCAGTCCCAGCGACCTGTCGGACTGCGACCGGCTGAGTTCCAACCGGTCGTCGTACGACGAGGCCGGCCCCGTCCGCGGCGGCCACGCCAACCACCACGTGCACCACAACCACCACCGGGGTAAGGTGCTGCTGTACGACGCTTCCGAGGACGACGTGACCCCCGACTCGGCGGTGGTGGCGGACATCACCACCTCCCCGCGGGGCGGCGGCAGCCACCACAGCCCGCGGGAGAAGCGGGTCGGGGGCGGGAAGCGTCTGGCGCGTCGCCACCAGCCCGTCAGCCAGGAGACGCCGAGCAGTCCGGAGCTGCACGACAACGTGTGGTCGCCGCAGTGAGTCTGTGATCCGCCCGTAGCGAGGGCGCAAGTGTGTCCTTCCTTGTCCCACGCCCCCACGGCAAGGACACGGCCGCCTGTGCTTGGCCGGCAAGGACTTGAGTGATGCTGGCCGCGCACGGTGTGGAAGCCGTTTGCCTTAGGTTATTTGCCTTCTCCTCTGTTGGGGTGCTTTATTTTTCAGAGTTTTCAGGGTTTGAATGATGTGTAAAAAAATGTCCCCAGCATTGGACGCCAGGGTGTTTTGTGAGGTTCGTAGAGAGCCTTTCAAACTGTCGTTGTGAAACGTGGACTCTACTTTTGTGCATCTAAGTGAGACTGTTTTCTAACTGACTCACTGCTCATTGTGCAAGAATGAATTTTCTTGACAACTAACTGCACTATTCTTAGTGCTAATCTTGAGTTGAAAGTAATCGGTACCAAAGTGTTTTCTTCTATGTATTATTCAATTTATTATGTCTCTTGTTAGTTATTGTTCACTGATTTTGAATGTCTATGTTGAATGAATATCCATTGATGGGTGCCATGTTGTTTTCTTATGTTTTTCAAGACTGGTTTTAAAACTTCTATTCTTTCTGTCAAACAATTTGTAAAAGAATGTCACGAGTTTTAAGGTATAGGTATATCTGACTGATGCAAAACCAGTTCTGATTAGCGCAATTTGCTCTCTGGAATTTAATTACTTAATGTTGCTTGTTGTCTGTTCATTAAAGTAAAATCACATACCGAAACATCAGATTTTTAGCCAATCATGGTAAGCTATAACAAATATGGCAAGTTAAATATTGTTGGCCTACAGTCCATAGTGATGATGGGATAGCATCAGTAAATGTGTAATTGAACATTCCCTCACAGTATAATATATTTTTTTACAAGAGTCAGAGTTGTAAAACGCATTAACTCTCTGTGCTGGATCCTGGACAGCAAAATTGCATTTTCCAAATCTGTTATAACATTTTTGCCAATGGAATTCTGTTTGGAGAGGAGTGGGCATTGACTCGAACTTCATCCAGTGCCATGCAAACCATGGAACAAAACTGTTGTATGCAATATCATTACAAGTGCTATGAGAACAAAAAAAGCTATGTTTATGTGTACCTACAAGTGCACTGTCCCAAATTTTGTGTCAAAAAAGATTCCCCACCAAAAACATTTTTCTATGTTAAAACATTGTGAATTCTGTTGTAATTTACAAATTGTGATAAAATAAATGTACAAGAACAATTATTACCTATGTGTGTCCCACATTTCTCACCCAACAAGTCCATAAAATTGCTGAAAGCACGAAATCAAAGTAATAGTAATGGGCCACATGCATGGCAAGCACAGAGCAAGACCAGGCGCGGTATAATGCCCGGCTGACAGCGGGCGAAACCCGGAAGGTTGTCTACATTGTTTGAAACGCAAATTGCCTACCTTTCAGGCCGCGCACTATAGGCGACGGGTGGCGCTTTGCCACCCCCACCCACTTTTATTCCGCGCCTGAGTAAAGCCGAGTGTTAAACAGCAATAAGCAGGCCGCCTAGACCTCCGACTCATTCAATTGAGCACCCACGCTCAGCGCCAAGAAAACCGAACACATGGCAAAATTTTGACCGATGTGGGTAAAACCTCTGTAACTTATGGCGGATATCCAATCGAAACAACTGCTATACCACTTTACTACCGCACCGCTCGAGCTCTCTACCCTCTACTTTAACGCGGGCCATTCAACTTTGTTGCTACACGATCCTCCCTTCGAGCAGAGCGTAGGGGTGCGGGAGCACAGCCCACAAGTTTGCAGCGCGCTGATCGCACCTCCTCGGCGACTCTTTGTGTGAGCGGCGCTGCGGCGGCTGCGGCGGCGGCGGCGGCGCGAGGCTGAGGCGCGGCTGAGGCTACGGAGCGGAGCGGGCTGAGCAGCCGATACAGCGATCCGCACTTAGGCCGTCTGGCCACAATGAGTGTGTGCCTCCGCACAGGTGTTGTGAAGGCGGAGTGGGTGGAGGGCTGAATATATATTCACCTCATCACGGGAGGGGCGCGGCGCCGTGAGCCGACTCGCACACGCCTACCTGTACTGTACGCTACGCTCCCGGGGAAGGCGCGCCTAAAGTGCCTAACGGAGAGCGCCTGCAACGCGCACGTCCCAGCGGAGCGGCTCGCTCTAGGTAGGTGTCGCTCAAAACCAACCCCAGCCAACTCCCACACTAAGGCCGAGCCGCTTAGCTCTGGCGGCCTATGAAATGATAACTCTTGAGTTCAAGAAATCCCATCTTTTGGCCACAACATGGAAATAAAACTTCCCGCGCGAGTTTTTCGACTTAAAATATTGGAGTGATTCGAACCCACGATCCGCGCGCCGGCTCGGTGCCACTGCGCCGCCCGTTTGTTTACGTCGTCTGCCGGGAGGTCAGCAACGTCTCTCTGCTCGGTTTGGCAGCTTCCACCGGTTACATTGAAATTCAAATGTTGCAGGACAATTAAAAATTATTCTAGCAACCCAGACTAAAGACAACAATTAGTAAACATAGTTTGGTCAGCGTGGCATGTGATGAAGAGCTAATTTTGATGTTTGTTGCTGTTGGATCACAATAAGCTCAGTCCAGTTTTTGTGCCGTGAAAGGGCAATACGAGCCGCCGCCAAAGGCGACGGGTGTCGGGAGGGACACCCAGGCGTACCGGGTAACCGGTCGTGGGAGGAACATTTTGCACTACCAAGCAGTATCTTAAATGAATTATCTCATATCATTTCATATACTAGTATGATGCCTCATGAGAAGAAAACAATCCAAGCGATCTTATGTTATGGGGGGGATGACAAGCTTCGCTCCATCTCTACTCCTTTACCCCGATGAAGGCGGGG